CTACGCTACAAACCTGCTGCATTACAAATGTTGTTATTTTGTTTTATACCTTTCACTTATTCAGTAATACAAGATTTCATGACTGATAATGTTAATGTCATTTGTCCACAAATCGATGATTCTGTTATAAGTAAGCTTTTTAAATAATAATTTAAGGCCAATATTGTTATGATTTTATTTAATTTGTTTTTTAAACTTTTATCAATAAGCAAATTTAAATTTCATTCCAGTCATTTAACTATTTTTGAACTTTGCATTTTTATGACACACATAGAGTTTGATAAATAGAGGTAGCAAGTCTTGATTCATCAAAATAGTTTAAAAACTTATAGTCAATTTTTTAAAAATAATTTTATCAAAGATTTGCTAATGAGTTTCTCTCATATTTTTACTTTAGGATCAGTTACTAATTTTAAGATTTTTGTTATGTGCTTTTTTATATAATACTCGACATTCTATCGATATGTTGATAAAAAGATATAAAGATAAAAAAAAAATTGTTTGTTTACTTATTAGTTTGTAACTTTATTGATATTATACAAAAGAGTTTATCAAAAACATAATAAATATTTTATATATAAATATGTGTGTATGTGTGTGTGTGTGTGTGTGTGTGTGTGTGTGTGTGTGTGTGTGTGTGTGTGTGTGTGTGTGTGAGTAGTTAGAGAATGCCGGTTCTAGCTCATTTTCATTTTCAACCATATTTTCAACCATATATTAATATTAATATATGGTTCAATGTTATCCATGTTGTGTATAAATTATTTAGAAAAGAAATAAAATTTTTCAATTTTTAAAAATTGAAAAAATTCAATTTTTTTAAATAAGTGTTAAATTTTTATTTCTTGTCGAAAAAAGGTGTGACGTCATATGACTTTTCTTGCTGTTTCTTGTGCGCTAACTGATCCTTCGGATCTGTGCGCATGCGCTAGATTTTATTTAGATTTAGAAATACTTTATTATATCTAATATTTGTCTTATTATTTCTATTAAATAATCTGCTTTTAACTTTAATATTTCTACATTTTCATCATCACATATTAACATTAACTTTAATATTTCTACATTTTCATCATCACATATTTTTAACAACATATCCCTTGTTGATATCATTTCACTCTCTAATATTAATAATTCCGGTCTTATTAATTCTAATAATTCTTTTTTATTATTATGATTATATAAATTATTTATTATTAACTTTATGTATTCTAATTCTGATTCTAGTTCTGATCCTAATTGTGTATTTGTTTCTTTACTGAATTTTTTAGATTTTAATTTTAAGTCTTTACTCATTACTTCTAATCTTTTTTTAAAGTTTAAATATGCTGGATTAATTATTTCTTTTTTCTTATTTTCTATTATTAATAATTGATCTTTAGTAATTTCTTCTCCTTCTAAACTTACAGTTATTTTTCTTTTTTTAATACATTTTAAAAATGATTTTATTGGTTTTAATTCTTTTGTTATATTTTCTATTTCTTCAACTTCTTTTTGAATGTCATTTTCTATTTCTTCAACTTCTTTTTGAATGTCATTTTCAATCTTTTTTATTTCTTCTATTTCTTTTTTCTTTTTTTCTAATTTTTCAGATTTTATTTTTAAATCTTTACTCATTATTTCTAATCTTTTTTTTAAGTTTAAATATGCTGGATTAATTATTTTGTTTTGCATTTCGTTTTCCATTCTTTTTATATATAAAAGAAAATTATTTAACTCATTTTAATTTTTTTGATTTAAAATATTTTATCAAATAATAAAAATAAAAATGAATTATGATGAGATTAATGAAATATCTTAATTTCAAAAAGAATTTAAACTTTTTGAAGAAATGAGAAAATTTGAATTTGAAGAATCAGATTCTGAAGATGACACTTATTATACATCTGATGAAGCTACTTATTTTACATCTGATGATAAAGATGAAGTTAAAGAAAAACCTATAGTTCCAATTCCTTTAAAAACAGTTCAAATCATGGAACTGCATAAAGATAAGCTGAAATGGATTAATTATGTTCCAACTTATAATGATAATACCGATGATGATTATCCTGCTATAGATAATACTTCTTTTAAAAAACATTACAAAAAAAGAAAATTTAGTTTTGAAAAATTATTTTACATCTGATGAAGATGATAAAACAATAGAAATTCAAGAAAAGGCTACAATTCCTTCAAAAACAGTACAAATTATGGAATTGTATAAAGATAAACTGAAATGGATTAATTATGTTCCAACTTACAGCAATATTATTTATGATGAATATCCTGCTATAGATAGTTTTTTAACAAAAAAACATAACAAAAACAAAAAATTTAGTTTTGAAAAACCATTTAATGTTGATATTAATTTTACTGAAGATGGAAAACCTTCAACAATTCATTTTGTAGAGAAACTACCAATTTTCTGTAAAAATATTTTAAATGATAATTTCTGTCCTTTTGGATATAAATGTAAATACAATCATGATATTCCTTATTGTAATACTGTAAAGGAAAGACTAATATGCACTAAATCTTCATGTCAATATAGGCATATTCATATTTGCTATGAATATCCTAAATGTAAGAATAAAGAATGTGTATTTTTTCATCCTAAAAAGTCAGAATTATTAAAATTAAGAAAAGCTAAAACTAAATTATGCAAATATATTCTTGATAAAAAAGAATGTAAAAATATAAATTGCAAATATGCTCATTCTATAAAAGAAATTGAAGAAAATGTAGAAAATTGTCATTATACTCCATGTAAATTAGTAGAGAGTAAATTAAAGAAAAATAAAAAAGGAGAAAAAATATTATTATATAAAAATATTAATGATAATAAAAAGTGTAATTTTTTACATAAAGGTGAAAAAAATATTAGATTTAATATTTATGACTTAGGTCTCTTTGAGATTTAGGGATCGCTAAAAGCGATCTAAAAAATCTTTACATTTATAAAAAAATGTATAAGAGAAGAATGTTTTTAGATTATGAAAAGCATGAAAAATATACAATAACTTTTAATATTAATTCAGATATAGAGCATAGATCAATAACTGATAGACATATTAAAGTATTCGCACAAGAAAATTTTACAGTAAAATTAAATTCATACAATAACATTTCTTTAATGTGTGGAGTCAAAATAGATAAAGGACATGTATTGATTTCACTTGCAGAAAATTATAAACCTACTCTAAATTTACTAAATTCTGTTGTAATAGAGTCTACTGATGATATTAAAATAACTTTATATAATAATGATAATAAAGATATAAACATTAAAAAAGGAGATTTGTTATGCTATATTTCATCTTATAATGGTGTTTTTAATGCAAATTATATATCAGAACTTGATAAAAAAGTAGAACAAGTTAGATCACAAAGGGACTCAGGAACTAAATCACAAAGTGATAAAGAATCTGTAAAATCTATATTATCTAGTATAGGAGAAATAATTAAAGAAACTATATGTGATGAAGATAAACCTAGTATAGATAAATCTGACAAAGCTCTATTTGATTTTGGTAAATAAAAGTGATTTAAAACAAATTTTTCTTTATAGAAAAAAGAAATGCAATGTAATAATGAATGTAAACAGCTTTATCCAGATCTTAACCAGTTTTCAGAAAATCCATCTGCACCACCACTATCTGATCAGAATTTTAGATTAGTTAAAATAAATGAAATTCAAAATAAGATAGAATGTGAAAGAATTAGAAGAGAGATCTTAAGTAAGAAATATCACAAAGCTTTAAGAATAGTTTCAGCTATTGATAATTCATTACTAGCTAGCACAATGACACTTGGAGCTGTTGGTATTGGCTTTTTAACAACGATAGTTGGATCACCAGTAGCTATTGGATGTGAAATTGCAGCATTAGGTATGGGTGTATTATCATTAATAGGATCGCAAGCTATTAAAAAATTAACAATAAAAGCAGAAAAGCATGAAAAGATTAAAGTACTAGCTGATGCAAAACTAAATACAATAAGTAGTCTTATTTCTAAAGCTATATCAGATCAATATATTGATGATGTAGAATTTAATATGATACTTTCAGAACTTGAAAAGTTTCAAGCTATGACTGAACAAATTAGAACAAAATCTAAGAAAGATATAGATGAACAGACTAAAGAGTCAATATTTAATAAAGGAGTAGAAAAAGGAACAAATGATATTATAGAGGCGCTAAATATGAAATTTAATAAGAATCAAAGTATAGGAGTGATAAATAATACTCTTAAACATTAAAACATATATTATGTATTACTTGAACATATATTATGTATTACTTGAACATATTATATGTTGATTTAGATCTTTTTAGGGATCTGAGGAGCACAGAGCGATTTAAAAAAATTATTGCTTATATAAAAATGTATGCAAAAGCTACAGATAATGATACAAGATTAAAAATAGCAAAAGAACTTGCTAGTATAAAGAAAAGTATATATCAAGATGATATAAATGAAAAGTTAGGTTATGATACTTTACAGACTAACTTGGAAAAATTGTACAAACCAATAATAGATAGTCAATCTGGAATAAAAGAAGGCTTATCTAAATTAGAAAATAAAGCTGATCAATTAACTAATAATTTTTCAAATCCTGAATATATTACCGAAACTAAAGCAATTATGCCACCTGAAATTGTAAATAACATGTCATTAGGAGCTATCGCAGCAGAATATCTAAAGTTATATACTGCTAAAAATAGTAAAAAAGTATCAGATGACATATTTGGTATACATTACAATGAAGGTGATAAAAAATTTTACATTGGTAAAAAACCAATAACTATTGAAGGTAATGATATAACTATTGAAGATAAAAAATACACTGGTACACCTGGTCTTTGGGAGATTATAGTAAAATCTCATCCTGTTAGATATACTAACGATGATCGTAATAAGTATAAAGAAATTTTAGATCAAACAGATGCAATTCGCTCTGATTTAAATTCAGCTAAACCGAGATCATCTAGAAGTTATAAGTACACAAATGTAATAAAACCTATTTGGGAAGAGATGATTGGAAAGTCTGGAAAAGGATTTGTCATTCTTCCTAGTGATTCAAATGCACTATTTGAGATGCTTAAATTACGCTTAGCTGCTTTACAAGCAGGTAATACTGGAGTTAGA